GATTCACTTCAACCTGTACCCCCGGGCTGTACATCTGGGGGAGCCCCGCTCTCAGGGAGGCTGTGCTGAAGACGGTGTGGGGGAGAGTCTGTCCCCCACTGAGAAAAAGGTAAGAACTGTATCAAGAGGAAAGAAATATATTCTAAAGTGCATGAATTCTATCCTGCTTTTAGTGATTCCGCTATTTTTCTTAACTGAGCTTTCAGTTGTTTCTCTTGTCCTCAATTGGGTTAAAACCCTAGTTATATTGTTTTTGTTGTTGTTGTTGCTCTCCTAAAGGAGATTGCGATAAGAATAATGAACTTTGCTATATGAATACAGAATTTCAGCACATCCTTCAGATAGAATTTCATTTAGAATTCGGAATTAAAAATGAAAACGGTATTTTTTGCATTAGTGAACAAAACTTTATTGCCATATGTAACCGGTACATACATTGTACTGGTACAATGGAATTCCTACATACAGAAACTCTCTGGATTGTTAAAAAAAGGTGTACAGCTCAAAGTGCAGACAGTGCATCAGGACAAACAAACAGTAGACAATGTACCAGTAAACAAGTAAACAGTTCGAATGTAAACAATGCAGACATGTAAACAATGACTGCAGATGTGCAATAAATAAAATTGCAGTGAGGTAGATGGTGCAGGTGTGGTCCGAGGGGCATGGCCAGATGTGTTCGCCCATCGCACTGCTTGCGAGTAGAAGCTATTGAGGAATCTGGTGGTCAGTGCCCGTATGCTTTTGTATCTCTTGCCTGAGGACAGCGGGGTGCAGAGCTCATGCTGTATAATGTCGTCTAACTACAGAAAGCAATCAATATATTGATGGAAACATCATATATATTTTAGGAAAACGTATAATTTAAAATGAGGGCATGTTATCGGAAATATATGTTCTTGACATACCAGTTTACTGCTCATTTTACAAATTGTTCCGGCTTTATCAGAGCGGAGATAAAAAAACTCAGCCTCTCTCAACAATGGAACTATTTTTGTAAAGATGTAAAGATTTTTGTAAAGATATGAAATATCTAAACAAATATTTTTCTGTGTGTTTTTCAGAATCAGCCCAAGCTCCAAAAGAAACCAGAGAAACTGCAAACATTTAGACAAAATGTCAAGAGTAGAGAATTGGAAATGATATCATCATCAGCTTCATGATTTTACTCAGTCCTAGAGAACAACGTACCCAGTGAAGTACAAACAGGTTTATTTTAGTTAGTTCACTTTCTTTAACATGTAATATTAAATGTAATATTAAAGTACTAAACCAAAACGCCTTTTCTTCTCTCCCAATAACGATATTAATAATAATAACATTTATTAATAATGATTAATTTATTAATTATTAATAATTAGTTATTGATAATGGTTATTGATTACATACTCAAAACAACGAAATAATATTGTATTTCTTACATGCTATATCTCACATAAAATTGTTTTTATTCTAACAAAATCTACCAAATAGTGAAGTCAAATGGCAAAATGAGGTGAATCAATGCCTTGTAAATAATACTGTGATCTAGGGACTCTGTTCAGTAAGTGATCTCAGCTACAGAAGCTACAGACGACAAATGAGACCAGACAGGCAGCTTGTGATGCCTAAATACAGCAACAGCAATTCACTGTCACAATAAAGACTACACACCTCTAAACAACTGTGCCCTGACTGTCAATTTGTACCGTGTATGTGAATTTACATATGCACCCAAAATTTGGAGGAGTCTAGATAAGAATTTAGAGAAACCGTCAGCTGTAGTCTTGTGAAATTAAGTAGTTAGCAGCCCTATCATCCGTCAACCATCTGAAGCTCAGCAGGCGTGAATCTGGCCAGTACCTGGACGGGAAACCAGCCGGGAAAGCTAAATTTGCTGCTGGAAGAGATGTAAGTGCGGCCAGTAGGCTGATCTGACCGTGAGGTCTGTGGTCTGTGGTCACGGGAGTGACGAGGACTATTTGCTGTAAAAAGGCGTCACTCTGTACTCCTCCGCACTGATAGCTGATGTGTGGGGAGCGTACTGGCGCACTATGGATGCCGTCGAACCCTGGCGGTGGGGAGTCCCCATTACCTGGAATTATTTATGATTTTTATTACTAAGTAGAAGATCTTGATATTGTTCCGGTTGTTGTGGATCAGTCTTATATTAATCAACGTCATCATTGTTAAAGCCCACCAGTGTAACGACGCGGCGCGGTGAAATGAGCCGCGTCTGACTGAGAGCTGACAAGCCGGTCCCGGGTAACTTCTAGGTGTGGAACACCGCAACAAAAGAAGAAAAGAGGAGCCCAGAAAAGAAAAGACAGTTGTGGCAAGGAACAGGGAAAACGCTGAAATAATGAAGCGCAAAAATGTAGGAAAAAAATGGTGTCAGGAAAGTACGAAGTAGCAAACGCACAGCAACTCAACTAATCACAGAGCGCAGAGTGAAGGACGTAGAGAAAGTAATATTTAAAGAAAAATTGAACTAATTAGGAATAATTAAATAATCGTTTAATTGGCCTCCCGCTGTGAAAGTCTGCCCGAGAGTGTTCGAACAGCGCCTGGAGGTGAGCATGCGGGACCGATCACCGACACCTACTCAATAATATCAATCACTCAACCAATATCTTACAACGCCTGTAGAATGCCTTCAAGAGCCGGTATTACAAGGCATCAGACAATACATATAATAAGAATACAGAAGAAGCAATGAAAACCATTTTATTGCTATTTGCTCTCATTCTTTGTTCTGGCTTGATAAGTATTTTAAAACATGGAGTTTTGTATGGCCTTGAATTATTAACATTGAGTATCATGTGATAAAATAAATTAATAAGTGAAATTATTTAAGTTTTTAAAAATATCTATTGACTTAGAACCAGAAATGAATAAGATGAAGAAATATGCAGCCTTAATGCTGACATGAGCATACTCAGGCACTGACCTGATCTCCCGAAGTTGGTAAGGGCTCTACTGAGGACAACAGATCTTATAATTAGGCATTGTATTAAAAATGTGTATAATATGTCAGGGTTAATTATCTGTGTGAGCGAAAGGTGAACTAATATATTCATTATCTGTCTCTAGTGGACAGCAAAATTACAGAATACCTAAACTTGAACATCTGCCTTAAATTAAAAATAGGATAAGATATAACTTAATCGTGCATCCAAAATGGTTTTTTAATTGGTCTATGGCATCAGCTTACAAAACTACAAAGCAAATAAACACTCAACATGAAATACACATTAAAAAACAAGATAAATCCTAGTCATGCAATACTCATACATACCTCTCAGCCTGCCCATATTACCATTACAATTAAACCAACAGCTTCATACAGCAGACAGACACTTAGCTGCATTTAATATTCCGCTTGAACAGGGAACAAAAGTCATTCTAAACCACCTTCCTGAAGGTAGCAAATGAAAATAGGAATACTGAAGAAGATGGAGGGGTCATCAATGAAAAGTTGTGCTTTCCTTCAAACCGTGATAGAATACAACTCTTTAAGCTGTGTCTGGTCAGCCAATTATTTGACTAGCAATATTAACAATTCTGGCTATTTTCCCTTTAATTATAATACTCTGGCTACCATACCGTAGTGATACCAAAGGTAAGAATGCTTTTACTAACATTCTATAAACCCTCTCCAAACCTTATGACTCACCCAGGCTCTTTCAGCTTCCTGATCAAAATATACACTGACTAAGCTTCTTATAAATGCAATTGGCATTTTGTGTGAAGTTGCTATTCCTGGGCATTCTAAACACAGAGACACATCCACAAAACTTTCAATAACGGTCAGAGGTCAAAGAATCTAATGAGTTATTATTGCATGTAGGCAGTTCTTTGGTTTTAATTTATATCCAAACTCTTAGCACTCTTTCCGTGAAGCTGTTATCAAGAGTGGAAAATCGGGGCCTCTGTCTCCCTGCAGTTCACAGCCTGGTCTCAGGAAAGGACACAAGAGCTGCTCACACTGATCACAGGACATGGACCTGGGGGACACAGGGAGACCCCTGTAATACAGAGGTGTCACTAAGAGAGGGAGTCACATGGACAGGTGAAACCGATCGGAATTACAGTGAATGGGTTGCGTCAATCGTGTTGACTGACGTGTACAGTACATTCCACCTCAACCGAACGCTAGTAGACCCGTATGTGAACTAGTGCAACATATTGCTGCTGTGGAAAGGTCCAATCCAGACTGCACAGGTATACTGCCGGGTGACTTTAACCACACTACCCTGTCACAGGAAATGCCACATTACAAACAGCAAGTTATCTGCCCTGCCAGAGCTGATGAAATACTAGATCACTGCTGCTGTACATTGGATCCCTCTTATCGCATCTATCTTCAAGCACTGCTTGGAAATTTAGATCACGCATTCATTTTGCTTAACCAAAAAATAAAAAATATCAAATCAAAAGTTAAATCAGTCAAGGTCTTGTCCTCAGAAGCTATAGAAAGCCTGAAAGGGTGTTTTGAATGTACAGATTGGAATGTATTTAGTTCTGCTTGTGCCTCCTTGGACGAATACACTGACACTGCTACATCCTATACAGGTTTTTGTGAAGGGGCATGCATCCCTACAAAAACTTTCAAGACATACAGTATAAAGAAACCACGGCTCTCAGAAGAACTGCAAGACCTCCGCCAGAGGAAGAATAAGGCTTTTATTGAGGGTGACAGGATTGAATATATCTCAGCCAAGTATGAACTGTGCTCTATAGTGAGGAAAGCTAAGAGCAACTACAGTAATGAACTAAAGGAACAACTCAAGAATAGTATGAAGGAAAATTCAGGAAATAACCAACTACAAGGAAAAAACTCCGCCACCTTACTGGATGATGACCCCAGTCTCCCAGATAAACTCAA